ACAGGTGCCACTCAAACGAGTCTCTTGCCTCAACTTCCAGAGTTGCTGGGACTAGAGGCGCATGCCACAACGCCCTGCTATTTTTTGAGACGGGGCTTGGCTCAGGCCGCTCTTGAACTCGCTCGCGACCTCAGGAGGTCTGCTCGCCTCGGCCTCCCAGAGTGCTGGAATTACAGGGGTGAGCCGCCAGTTTTATCTTGAGACATTGAGACAATGTCTCGCTCACTCAGGTTGAAGCGGAGCGACAGGATCTCAGCCCACTGTAACCTTGAATTTCTCCTTCCTCAGCTTCCCCAGTGGCTAGGACTACAGACATACACAACCAATTTTTTTTTTTTTTTTTGCAACATACACATTTATTAAGCTCATTGTCTAATATAGGTGTAACTCACGGCACCTAAAAACAATTACAGTAGTACCAGCAAAGATCACCATTAACAGACACAACCATCAAAATGTTTAAAATACTGTGAAAATTATCAAAACGTCATACAGAAACACGAAGTGAGCACATGCTCTTCATAAAATGGTAGTGAAATTCTTGCTCTGCCCAACGAACTTTCAACATTTTTTTTCTAGAGACTGGCCCAGGCTAGTCTCCCAATTCCTTGGCCTCAAGCGATACTCTGGTCTCGGCGTCCCAAAGTGCTGCAATCAGAGACGTGAACCATTGCACCTGGCCAACAGTACCCCCCTCACCCCCAAAATTCTACCCCTCAACTTCAGGGATATTCTTGCAAGCTCCTAGGCACCTTATCTGCACCCCAAAAGTTATTCAAATTATCAAGTTAGCGTCCCTTTAACTACATCTGCTCCACATTTTTAATCTGAGTCTCTATTTACAACAAGTCCCCAGGTAACACACAAGCTGCTCTTTCTCAATTCTTATCCACATCCGGGAGATTGAGAATGCTTTATTCTAAGTAGGTCACGAAGATTACCAAAAACGCTTAAGTAGCGAATTTCCTTCAGATACCATTTAAATCTGTGACATCTTCCATCAAGACTATACCACTAATGATTTTAAAATAATTTTTAGAATCAAAAAAATACGTTAAGAAAAAGCCGCCAATCGGCCCCAGTTCTTTAAGCGGAATTAAAAAAATGGGAGGGCCCCTTCCTGGGAGGCCCGCCCGACAGGAAGAAGCCTGGATAAAATTAGAAGTGCCAACTGTGCCCGCGAGGTCTATAAAAAACGCTGAGTAATAGTTCAACCTCGGAGACATCAAGAAAGCGTACAAGACCCACGTCGTACCATTCTCCCATACTTGAACTTCAACGCTGCGATGACTCGGAACTACCCTACCAGGTCTGCTCCCGACCCACCCGGTAAGAGCGCGAAAGTTTCACTCACCATGTCTATGAACCAAAAGACAGAACCCGGCCAGTTCCTGGGTAGACTTAGGAGCCCCACGCCTGCGCAGAAGCGCCCGCCAGGCCCCCTCCGCGCGCGGACTTAGCTGTCCACACTCCTGCCTGAAGGTTGGCGCGGTTCGCAGCTGCCTAGGACCCCACCGACTGCTCATAGGTGTCCACGCTGCCTGCGCCCAAAGTTCCCGGCCCATATTTTCTTTACCCTTATCGGTTTGATTTGTTTAAAACAGTTTTAAATAATATGTAAATATCTGAGTTGCTTTTAAGAAATCCTTTTTTAAAGCGAACTGAGGCAAGTATTGAAATCACTTGTTCTTGCGGCTCTTTGCACTCCGAATATCTGGCTGTTAATTCATAGAGCGCCTGCCCGCGCGTTAAGTGTTCAATAAGTATTTTTTTACTGACTGTAAATGAAATGTTTACATACCACATTTGCCTTGTCCATTTTAAGTCTGGTCCTCTACCATAACCCTCCCCCACTTCGTCAGGAAGGGCCAATAGTTAAAATACTGAAAATTAGTTTCCAAAAAGAAATATCCATGTGCCTTTGACAGCTTCCCACAGAATTCGGATTTCAGCTACTTTCATCTGTGCGCTCGTCTTTCATTTTTGAGCGTTCATTAGAAAATAGCGGTGACCCCTCTCCCTTTAAAATTGATTGCTTTCAGTAACAAGGTAAAGGATTCCTGACACTGATGTATGTTGGCTATCAATAATTGAGAGACATTGTTGAGTGTATGCAGTGGATTTCATTATTTCTCCCTGTAATTCTGTTGATTTTCCCATTTATATTTTCGGGTGCTTTATTGAGTGTGTGTAAGTTTAGAATTGTTACCTATTTTCCGTGAGTTGTGCATGCGCTTTATAAATCAACTTCGTTAAAGATTAATGTAATTTTCCCACCTTTCTTTTGATGTCACTTGTGAATTTTCTTAGAACTTTTTATTTTCAACCTTTCTATACTTTTGGGTTTTAGTATGTTTTATAAATATCAGTATATGCCTAATCTTTTTGTCCAGCTTTCGCGGGTAACATCAGCCCATTCACATGTATTATTGTTTATATTAGTTTCTATAATCTGACTTTTGGGTTTCATTTATTTCACGTTTTCTATGTTTTTTTTATTACTGTTTTGGGCTTTCTTGTCTTTAAAAAATTTGTTTTAATAATCATTTTCCTTATTTTATTTTTTATCTGTTCTTCTGGTTTACAGGTTGTAGCTGGAAATTCTCTCTGCCGAGTCCTCCATCTTGAGGTTGAAGAATGAATCCATGGACCACCCAAGTAGGTGAAAGAAGAGTTTACTGTTAGAAAGACTGATAAGCAAAAAAGGGGGAACAGAGCTTCTGGCTGCAAGAGGGGGGACCCAAGTGAAGCCCATGTGGGCCTTCTGTCTAGGGGTTTATTTATATACTATTTTTCCTATCCTGCGGGCAAGGGACTTGGGGGGAGATGAAATGTCTGTCACAATTGGCCAGGTGTCTGTAGGCAGAAAATAATTTTAAAACTGGCACAGTGCAGGGAACTCAGTCCTTGGGTCTTTGCCCCGAGTGAGGCTGTAGGACGTGTATTCCCTGCTCTAGAAGGGGCAACCCAGATGAGATACCTATCTGGCTGCTTTTTTCATGACCTTGCTTTGGGTCCAGGAATGCAGCCTGTGAAGAACCTGTTTGTGCCTAGAGATTGGGGTCTGGGCCTGAGACTGATTTCTGAGCTCACTCAGGCCCAGAAAATGGGGTGGGGGTGGTGTCCCTGTCCAGCCTGAGCAGGGAAACCCTGTATCAAAGTTAGACTCTAATACTATTATTTTTAGTAACTACTTTCAAATTTACCTTGTACAATTAAAAACGTCTAAAGATGTAATTACATTCAGCAATTCTATAATCCATAGCTGTCTATACAGATACACTCCCTCAGGCATGAAATAACTTGTGTAAAGAAGGATATTCACAGTAGCAGTCTTTGTAATAGCAAAAGATCACAAAAATTGTAGTAAAAATTCTGTGAAAAGGTTAAACTGTGGTACATTGATTATGTAACCATTAAAAAGAAATGAAAGATCTTCAAAATACACTGATAAAAAGCACAAAAAGAAAGCACCAAACTGTATAGTGTGCTACTATTTATGTAGAAAACAAAGGAAAAATATGTATATATTTGTAAAGGCATAAAATTGCTAACAGCTGCTGCCTAAAAAGTAGAGAAATGGGTGAGAGAGGGGATTTAAGAAAGCCTTACTTTCGCTGAATATTCTAGTACTTTTATTTGAAGAATAAAACTACCCTCCTTCCAAAGAAATGTAGCTATGCTATAGAAGAGAATCTTATTCTCCTTTTATGGTATTGAATAAGGTAATTAACTACCACCATTTAGCCTTGGTCAATCTATAGATAGTTTCTGCTTTACTCTGATGCTTGTTTGAAGTTTCTGCTATTAACTAGAAGTAAAAGTTTGTATCTTCAGGAGGAGACAGTCTTAGAGCCTCATGGAAAGGACCAGGTACTTTAACTACTGAGATATGTATAAAACACAGGGAAAGGTATAAACACAGTTGCCCTACTACCACAAATTATATGGTCAAGTTTACACATTTGGGGAAACTGCGGGGTCAGCACATCAGAGTGCAATGGATAAAACTTACCTGGGAAAACCACCTTCACCATCATTTTATGTCCTCTCCCAGATAAGTAGTAACTATTGATATTTTTGAACTACTGGGAAATACTTCAAATAGACTCTTGGGTATATGCTTCCGAGTGGACGTAGCTTAGACAACTTTCCAAACAAAGGAGCAGACTGAGTCAGTCCATCTAGGGCTCTCTCTAGTCCAGACACAGACTTCTTCATAAAGAATTCCCCAACTCAATTTCCAGCCCAACAGTTACATAGGACTCAATGCACTGATAAGGGAAATTCAATCCTGGTTATTTTTTGGAATACTGATGTCTTTGTAATGTTCTGTTTTCATGGTATATGAGGAAGCCTTTTTTAATTCTTCTTAAGCTATTTCTAGGCTTCAATTTAGTAGACTATGCTTTTGTAGACTGAAATTTTAAAATGGTGCATGATTCTAAGCTTTCAGAATTCAGAAACATGTACTCAATTTCCTTATAGTATTATTTCATGGCAATATTCAATTGGAATCATACTCCTTTTTTATCAGGATATAACTGAACAAAGATTATATAACCCAGGTCAGACCTAGAGTGTCTTATTTGAGAATAATTTTCATTTAATCAGTTATGACCAGCCCACTACTAAAAATAAGTTAACTATATATAGACTAAATGCCTACAAAGCTGTCTCAGTCAACCTAGAATGGTGGGTCTACTCAGCGGCGTCACTGGGTACAACCTTACAGGTAGTAAAGAAAGCTACTGCTTGGCAGACTGGGGACCCTGGCAAATTTTAAAGATGCATAGGAGAAAAATTCGCCCAAATTCTTGGATTGTATAAGCAAAATATAGTAGAGAGTTTCTCTGGCTTGGTTCCTTGGCTTTGAGATAGCAAGTTATAGAGAGGCTTTTCAAAATCCAATTTGGGGTCCTTTATGAAAACTTTCAG